TCACCAGGGCCAGTCGGGACCCCTGCTGCTGTGTCTCAAAGGCCACCTCAGATAGTGGCCCAGAATGGAGCACAGCCCTCCACTGGGGAGGCCTCCTGGACTAGAGATCTCTCCCTTGTCCTCACCACTTTACAGCTGTGCATTCAGCCCATCATGGCTCCTGCTTTTTGCTAGCCATTCCATCAGACAACTGGGTTTTATTACGGAAAGTTTAAAACTATATACACAAAAGTAGAGGGAATAGCTGAACGCATTCCCACAGTTGTTCTTGCAGAGGAGCCAGATTCGGTTCCCAGCACCCACATGGTGGCTAACAACCATCTGTAGCTCCAGTTCCTGGGATCCAAGACCCTCTTCTTCCTCAGTGGGCATTGCATGCATGGGGTACTTATATACATGTAGGCAAAACATTCATACACATAAAATAAAAATAAAATAATAAAAACCTTAAAGCCCACCCCTAGTGACATACTTTCTCCAGGAAGGCTCTGCTTTGCCACCAGCTGGCAGCCAAGTATTCAAATACATGGGCTTATGGGAGACATTTTACATCCAAACCACAACAGCACTATAACCTCCTCCTCCTGCCTTCCGCAAATCAGCAGCAGCACTACTTCTTTTGAAGAGGGCATTGTAAGTTCAGTGAAGGGAAATCATATTCTTCTTCACAGAAGGTTCTATCAGTTTGAAGTAGCGACTTAAAAAGAGAGAAGGTTTATTTTGGCTCATGATTCAGAAGTCCATGTGGATTTTTTACATAACAAAGTACAAAAAGTTCCTTGACACACTTTAAAATTCTACATTGCTGTTAACTTTTAAGAAACGACCACTTGGGGCTGGAAAGATGGCTCAGTGGTAAAGAGCACCAGTTGTTCTTGCAGAGGAGCCAGATTCGGTTCCCAGCACCCACATGGTGGCTAACAACCATCTGTAGCTCCAGTTCCTGGGATCCAAGACCCTCTTCTTCCTCAGTGGGCATTGCATGCATGGTGTACTTACATACTTGTAGGCAAAACATTCATACACATAAAATAAAAATAAAATAATAAAAACCTTAAAGCCCACCCCTAGTGACATACTTTCTCCAGGAAGGCTCTGCTTTGCCACCAGCTGGCAGCCAAGTATTCAAATATATGGGCTTATGGGAGACATTTTACATTCAAACCACAACAGCACTATAACCTCCTCCTCCTGCCTTCTGCAAATCAGCAGCAGCACTACTTCTTTTGAAGAGGGCGTTGTAAGTTCAGTGACGGGAAATCATATTCTTCTTCACAGAAGGTTCTATCAGTTAGCTTGCCATCGCTATAAGGAAATGTTTGAAGTAGCGACTTAAAAAGAGAGAAGGTTTATTTTGGCTCATGATTCAGAAGTCCATGATCAACTGGCCCCCACTGCTTTGGGCCACTGGTGCAGTAACACATCACAGAGGAAGAAAAGTCACTCACTTCATCAGCCAGGAAGCAAAAAACAGGAAGAGAATGGGGTCCCACAATTCCCTCTGAGGGCACACCCCAAAGACCTCCCACCAGGCCCCACCTCTGAACAGCCTAGTCATCTCTCAGTAGCACCCTTCTCCCTCTGGGATCCAAGCCTTTAGCATGTGGGCCTTCAGAGTACACACACTCCAGATCCAAACTGTAGCAATGACTGCTGTCACTGGCTTGTGTGGTGTCCAGCTAGCTACAGGGCCTACCTAAAGGGCACAGTTCCATAGGAGGCCCTCAGTTCTGACCCCCATCCAGTTGTACACTGAAGAACTGCTTCTCAGATTTTTCGTAAAGCTCTCCTTACCTCTTTGGTGTAGATATTCTTGCTTTGACTAACATTTAATGACTGGCTTTTCATATTTTTAAATTTATTTTTATTTTATGTGTCTGAGTGTCTTGCCTGCATGTAAGTATACCTGTGCTGTACAATGCCCACAGAGGCCAGAAGAGGGTATCAGATCCCCTAGAACTGGAGTTAAGGATGGTTGTTAGCCACCATGTGGGGGCTGGTAATCAAATTCACAGCCTCTGCAAGAACAGCCAGCGCTCTTAACCACTGAGCTATCTCTTCAACTTTCTTAATGGCTGTTTTTAACAACCCATTCAGAATTCTTGAGAATTTGGTAAGAGGTTCTTCTCCCTGTATGAATCTTCAGCAGATGATGTTGCTCTTACTTGAGACCCTCGGGTGGGAACTCATTGACTTTTCATCCTCTAAAAGTTTACCTTCAAGGCTAGGGAGGTGACTCAGTCAGTAAAGTACCTTCCCACATATGAGGACCTGAGATTGGAGCCTCAGCACCCACATAAAAGCTGGACACGGGGGCTGTAACTCCTGTGCTGGGGCAGGAGGAGGAGCAGAGACAGGTGGATCCCTGGTACTCATTGTCCAACCGGCCTAGCAGAGGCAGTAAGTCCCAAATTCATGAGAGACCCTGCCTCAAAAACTAAGGTGGAGATCATCTGAGGAAATCACCCGAAGTGGACCTCTGGCCTCCCCACATATGTGCATGCACACTTGCACACACATGTGCACACATACAAATATGTACTGGCATAAAGCACACAAGTTTAGCTTCCCATCTTTGCTGCATTTTCTCTTTCCTTCGTCCTGATCCCCTTTGTCCTTCAGGGCCTCCTGTCTCTGCAGGAAGTACATTCCTTCAGTTCTCCTGCCTTCTTCCTGTCCCTCAGGCTGAAAAGTAAACTAGACTGATTCTCCAAAGCTTAAGAAAACACGAAGAAGGATGACAGCACACCCTTCTCTGGGCCTGGCAAGCTGATCGCCCTTCCTTCCTCCTTTCATATCAACATTCCTGAAAAAGTTTGTCAGGATCCAAGTTTCCAGTCCCTGACTTTGCCTTCCCTTGCCATCCCCCTCCAGCACCTGCCTGGCCTCTTTGGCCTTTTCTGCCACTTTAGGCCCTGTGGAGCTTGTCACCCTCTCTAGAACTTAAGCCATTCCTTATCTTCTCTTCACCCCTGGAACAGCCCCTGCTTCCTGGGGGTCAGCCTTTTCCAAGGGCCCAGCCAACTCTGGTGCCTTAGAGCCACCAACTGCAGCCCAAACTCAGAATCAGGGCTCTGACTTCTTGTGACAGAGTTGGTGGGGGCAGGAAGAGCCTGAGGGTAAGGGGGCGGTATGAGTCAAGAGCTGCGTAGGTTGAATCTCTGGTCTGCTCACTAGCAGTACGACTTTGGATGGACATGGTGTTAGGGTCCGTGACTCCGTGGGTCTCTTCTGGAGAACAAATGCAAGAGTACGGAGATGCAAAAATCAAGCAGAGTTTTACTAAACCAGCTAGCTGGGGCCGACCGTCCTTCCAAGACATGCAGGTCTGGTGAGAGCGATCGACCCTGAGACAATGAAAAATACTCTCTTGGAGCTATAAACACAGATTCCTCAGTAAGAGCAGCAAGGAAACCATCGTAGGTGGAGAGGGATAATTTGGAAAGCTCTGATGCAGCATTCATCTCCAGGACCTTGAGGAAACGCTCAGGGAATGTATGGAGATTATATCCCAAGAACAGGCCTGGAAAGAGTAGAATATTAAATAGGAGCAAGCAGGTAATTATAGATGCAGTTCACCCAGGTTCGCTTGCTAGAAAACTGTGTCTTGAAGGGGATTTTCTAACACAGAGATGTTTGGAAGATGGAAAGTTTGGTTCATGCCGTGGATGCTCATGGTAGACTCAAGTTGTTTTGATTTTATGTTTCTTTCTAAAGAAGGGTATATAAAAAAAAATCTAAGTGCATTTCCCAGAAATCACATACCTGAGTCTGGAGTCAAAGGAAAGGAGTGTTAGGGTCCTTGACTCGGTGGGTCTCTTCTGGAGAACAAATGCACGAGTGTGGAGATGCAAAAATCAAGCAGAGTTTTATTAAACCAGCTAGATGGGGCCGACTGTCCTTCCAAGACATACAGGTCTGGTTAGAGCAATTGTCCCTGAGGCAATTTTAGGTAAAGATTATATAGGCTCCCACAACCATTACACAAGAGCCCGCGTTTATACAGCCAATAGTTTCAAAGCAAGCATTTCACAAACCAATAACTTTAAAACAAGAAAAATGTTACAGCTCCCTTCAGGTGTCTCAATTGGGGAGAGATGATTGGTATGTGCCTGGTATGACTCTTTCTTTTTATCTTGTGTAAGCAGACATGACATGACACAGAACAGGTCAGGCTCTGGGGGTTGTAGCACTTTGCCTCTATCTCCGGATGCCTGTGTCTCCAGTTGAGTTAATTGGTTACAAGCAGTAAATTTAAACAAGTAAGTTCAAGCAGTAAATTCAGGCAAGCAGTATATTCAAACAAACAGTAAATTCCTCTTTCCCCAACAATGGCCTTTCTCCCCTCTGTGGATCAGTTTCCTGGTAGGTAAACTGAGGACACTGCAGCTTTTTCAGCACCTTCTCAGCACACCACACGGTGCATGCCTCAGAATAACTGGTTCCAGGTGTCGATGTAGCTCACTTCCTTCCCTCACCTCCACCTGCTGCTGTCATTTCATCACTTCTGTGGATCACAGCCTCGGCTGCCAACCTCCAAACTCACAGCCTTCCACTGCATTATCTGTGTCTGAAATTCAAAATACTCCCTCCAAACAGACATTACAACTGGTTCATTGAACCTGGGGTTAAAGCCTTATCTTTGCCTTTCTCCCCAAATCCCTGTGCAATCCAATCCCTCCACTCACCTGGTTCTTTGTAGTCATTCCAACTCCCAGGAGGGCTTGTCTGAGAAGGACCTGCTTCTCTTTATGTGGCAAAACTTTTCCTTTCTTGGCTTTACCCAGCCCAGGCACTGCCTCCTCAGTGAAGCTTGCCTAGGTCTAGAGGTGACCTTGGCCACAGAGGCAAGGTTAGGGTGGTGGCCACAGCACAGTGGCTCCTGTTTGTATGTCCTCTACCTGTTTTCAGTGCCCATCTCATTTAAGTTTTACAGGACTCTCTAGTGTCACAGGAAACCAATCGCCCCCCCCCAGTGACAAAACTTGTTTTCCCTGCAGCTGCTGAACCCCCCAGTTCCTCCCGAGGAGACCTCTCTTGGAGCCCAGGCTGCAACAGGCATGTGGCTGTCCAAAGCCGTCTAGATGCCATGGAAGAGGTATCAAGGGTGTGGGAGGAAGGAACCATGAAGCTTTGGAACCATCTGCCAGGCTGGTGGCTTTGTGGGGTGCAGATGAAGGTCAGGAGATCCAGGCCAGTCCTGTTCCCCAGCTACCATGTGAAATATCCCTTGCCCCCTCTGAGCTGTCCAGCTGACCCGTTCCTTATACACCCTGCCTCCCAGGGATTGTTGCTTGCATCAATCCTGAGGTTTTCCCATTAGGAAGGTGGACATTCAATCACCAAATTTTGTGATGCAGCTGTGAATCGTGACATGGGGTTCATAAATCTGTGAACCACACATGTGCATGAACCATAGGCATAAACGGAGGTCAGAGGACAACTTGCAGGAGTTGGTGCCTTCCCTCCAGCATGTGGGTCCCTGGGATCAAACTCAGATTATCAGGTTTGATGGCAAGTGCCTTTCCCGACAACTTGCAGGAGTTGGTGCCTTCCCTCCAGCATGTGGGTCCCTGGGATCCCTGTGCCTTTCCCCACAGAGCCATCTCACAGCCTGCTCACTTCTGCCCCTCCCCCATACAAATAAATAATAAATGTTAAAAAAAATGGCAGGTGGCTCCTGAGGTTGACTTATGGTTGCCACATGCTATCCCGTAAACATGTATACACACACACAAATTAAATTTTAACACAAGGTCTTACTCTGTAGCCCAAGCTGGCCCAGAACTTGTGGTGACCCTCTGTTTCAGCCTCCTCACTGCTGGACTTATGGATGTGAACAACCAAAATAATTTAATTTTTAAACGTTTTTTTTGGTCTTTTTGAGACAGAGTCTCCCTGTAGCCCCAGCTGGCCTGGCACTCACTATGTAGACCAGGCTGGCCTTGGACTCACAGAGATCCACCCGCCTCTGCCTCCCAAGTGCTGGGATTAAAGGTGTATGTCACCCCAGCCGCCCTTTTGTTTTGTTTAGACAGGGTCTTGCTGTATAGCACAGTCTGTCTTGGAACTATCATTTCGCCCCAGACTTCTGAGTGGTAGGATTATAGTTGTATCCCACCATGCCTGACCAAACTCATAAAT